CGCTTATATTCCTTTATAGGCAAGTTTATGGTCCGAGACTGCCGGGCTTCGAATCCCAGGCCAGACCATGTGGATTTTTAATTAAATTGCATGGTTCGGTATAAGATTTGATGTGTGCCGTATTAATAGAAATTCAAGTTCTGCTGATATGACATGCAGATTATAAAATCGCCATGTATTACCGTCTCGATCATGGTGGGGTTTCCTCACCTGTAAGTCAAATGGCACCATCAATCATCTTTAAGTCGCCCCGGAGCACCACGGCAAATAATATTAATAGCCATCCCTTTCCCCGCACAAGCTCTGCTTTTGGGGTTAAAATTCACTCTATCGGGATTAAAAAACCTGTAACGTATTATAAAGTGTGATACTTCATTTGAAAGCTAATTTAATTACTAATTCAATGCATCACATAACATTAATATAAATTCGAGAGACGTTAAAATGGTGGTTTCCACCTTATCGAGACTAAGGCCCACAAGGGTAAACTCGTAGCGTAACAAAAACGATTTAACTTGGAACGAAAGACCGAAAGCCGATTGTAGTATAAGGACGTTGAATTTTTTGGTTTGTGAAGCATTGGCATTACTTATGTTAAACCATTTGATGATTTTTACAATCCTTGATTTTTAAAACCATTTTATATCGCCTTTTGATTAGGGTTTAAAAACTTATTCGAGCAATTTATTCGATAATAATTGGCCCCTTTGCCTCTTAAGCCTGCTCATGTAAAATATTTGGGCTCCTTACTTCGCCTATTTATATTTTATTAATAAAGGACAGAAGGATGAGTATTGCAACTATGTTAAAAGAAATAAATTGGGTTTCAGTTCAGAATTATGTTCAGTACATGACTGATATTTATTTATAAAATAAAAATGAAATAGTACCATCGCATCAGATCTATTAGAAAAAATTCAATATAATTCGTAATATCACAACTATAATACAAGAAGCCAATCTGACTTTCATGTACGGCAATCCATTACTAAAAGTTACCAAAATACAATTTTTAAAAAATTTAATAGACTGCCTACAGAAATTAGAAAAAAAAAAACAACAATAAAAGTATTCAAAAATGACCTCAAACAATACTTGATAAATAAACAGAACGGATATACTTTCTTGTGATAATACTTTTTAAACCTGCCCTTTTTTAGTATTTCCCTTAATTTATTGTTATTACCTCTCATTTTACCCGCACTTACTTGATGTTTTATTAATACTACTTACTATGTTTAAATTATTAATAGTTTTTCGACGATAGGTAACTTATAGCCACAAAACTATTTTTGTGTTAAAATAGATCTATAGAGAGTAATATAATGTGATGTTTGTTTATTTTCAAACAACAGTTTATTTATTAATAATTTATTTAAACACTTATTTATTTTAAACAATACTATTTTAATTTATATATACTTCGAATGTCTTTAAACTGATCACTATTTATATTCACTACTGTCTATCTACTAATTACTATTATCTGCACTGTCCATATATCAACTGATACTGATGGCTCGCCTCCACCAATTTATATACAAAATTGGTGGTCGAGAATGCTCCCCCACCAAAATTGCCAGTATGTACCAGAAACGTTATCACGTTCTAGAAATAGTATCTCGTTGACCCTGGAATGTTCTCGAAAGTGTCTCCACCATAGTCGTCCCATAGGTTTGGTCTTAAGGGGTTCAATTATGTATAATAAGCGGACAAGTTGAGCCTCAAAGGCCAAATAATACAGAGAGGGACTTGGAGTATTAGAGCATGACTGAATAATGAAATGGCTCACATTACAATAATTTACAAAGGCCTTCTTTCAACATACAAATAAATGACAACTTTATAATTAAAATGAAAAACAACTAAATACCTCAGTATCATAATTAATCAAAATTTGAAATGGCTTGATCACATTACGTCACTAAAATTCCAAGATAAGAAAATTCATTTTTAAATTTTATGAATTAAAGAAATTTATGACTAGGAGTTTACTAAATTATTATTTACAATTCGCTGATTGAATATATAATCCAAAATCGTATAAATAAAGTTATCTACAAAAAAAAAACCAGCATTCTATCCTACCTCTCTTTTATATAATAAAAATTGCTTTTTATAAGAACAGTATATTATCTGTCTTGCTGTACCTTTATTTATGGAAAGCCTGAATTGAGATACACTACAAATTATTTGCAAATATTTGTGAAAGCTAAACTCTACCTTTTGGCAAATTATTTTTAATAAATTGTAGGTACTATTTTTATTTTGTAATTTTCGCATGCCAATAAAATCATATTTATTTATTCATACATAGAATAAAGAAGAGATGCTCTGATGATTCTGAAATGTCCGCATCGTTGCATTACACTCTTTTACGTCGTATGTCAAAAGCTACACTATACTAAAGGAAATGATGGTGAAGCTCGCCTTATAAGACTTTGTAAAAACGTTTGAGGTGAATTGATTTGACTCTGTATGTACAATTTTTATATATCACCTGTAAGAACATTTAAACAGTCCAAATCTAGATAAAATATCAAAAGGTTCGCGTTGTCTCGAGAACTTTTTAAACTAATATCGTTGATAAACAATTGAGATGAGGTTTTACAGGAAAAGTCAAACACCAGCTGTACTCTAGTACTGATGTTTTCAGACTTCACTTCACTTAGGATGCATACTCTTCATCATGGAGGAAGGATTTCAAACTACTGCGGACACTGCAGTAAACTTTCTCCAAATCTCTTCAGCCTCGATGTTCAAAAGGCATTTGAATAAGCTTGGCATGCTGGACTAGTCAAAAAGCTCATGAAAACTTTAAATATTAAATAAAACAACTGGTGTTTTCTTCGATAATGACATAAATAAGATATAAAGTATTTTATCTTGTTTTTTAAAGTTAAAGGTACTTTTTAACCGACTTCAAAAAAGGAGGAAGTTCTCAATTCATCAGAATATTTTTTTATGTATGTTCAGCGGATAATTCTTTAACACAGTGTCCAATTTCAATGATTCTTTTTTTGTTAGGAAGGGGATACTTCAGGGTTGGTCCCATATAAATTTGATAAAAATCTAATAATTGGGTCCGTGAGAAAATCCTCAAACTCTTAATTTTTTATGTATGTTTAGCGATAATTCTTTAACACAGTGTCCGATTTCAATGAGTCTTTTTCTGTTAGAAAGGAGATACTTCAGGGGTGGTCCCATATATATTTGGTCAAAACCTAATAATTGGATCCATGAAAAAATCCTCAAACTCTTCATTTTTTATGTATATTTAGCGATAATTCTTAACCACCTTGTCCAATTTCTATGGTTCTTTTTTTGTTAGTAAGGGGGCACCTCAGGGGTGGTCCTATATAAATTTGGTGTCAAGATGTAGTGATGTCATCTGCACATTTTTGAAATCAGTTTTTCAAAATTACTTTTAATACTTGTTTAACATAATCAAGTTCTGTATATACACGTAATTGTAGATAATACTCTAGAAAAAGTTGTGAATTATTATGTAATTTATTTTCTTGACGAATGAAACGATTTTGTGGGATAAAAATTGATATTGGCATGGGCGCCGTTCAAAACCTTTCTAGGGGGGCAGAGTTAAAACGACGCAAGCTATGGCGAAAAAATCAAAATTACAAATCTAGGGGACAGGTCCCCCTTGCCTTCGTGTAGCGGTGCTCTTGGGTATATGTACCGGTATTTGCGTTTGTTGCAATTAGAGGTAGGCCAACTTGGTAAAGTAATTATGTCTGAAAATATTTGTTCTGCCTTTTGCTCATCAGGAGTTAATATTTTATTAATGTTTGGGATGTTTTTTAGATTCTAGACTATGTAAGTGTTGATTTTGAACCGGTGTGATTACTTTGTGTTTTGTTTATTGTAAGAAATAAATGCACTAAGAATTTGTTGCATTGAGACAATATTGAGGTATTGATCTGATAAAAGCCAACCAAAAATGGTGTTAAGAAAGTTTTAAAACATCCATCTAGAAAAGTGTAATAAATGTCAGCCCCTGTCACAATATCAATACCGAGTGAGGAGGATCCACGGTAACGCATCTGCCTTTGCATTCTAGAGGTCGTGGGTTCGAGCCCCACTGCCGACACTGCCTGCTATGAGGTTTTCTCATAGCAATAGGCAAATGCCTGGTCATTAACATCTTCTTAAACACCTACCACCTTTCCTCCGCCCCATCCCCTCAGGCCCGATCCCTGATGCCTCCAATGTGGCTGAAGAGGATCTTAATACCTTTGGAAAAGATAACAATATGGTGATTAAATATCATTGTGATGGAGGAAAGTTTTTGATTTGTTGTGACTTTAGTGTGTCTCACCTCCACAGAAAAATGTACGTGTGTTCTAAAAATAATGCATTAGGATGTCGTTATCTTTTCCAAAGGTATTAAATTACAAGCCAGATGGTGGTCTGAAAAAGCATGCCGGTCGGTGCTTCTCTTCATTCCCAAAAAAATGCGCGTGTTCTAAAAATATTTAATCAGCATATCATTAACTTTTCCATAAATATTAAAAATGCCAAATAGTCGCCTGAAAAAGCATGTCGTTGTTCTTCCTCCTCCTCCACCTCCTCTACCTTCTTCTCCTCCTCCGTTTCCTCCGTCATTTCCCATCTACTTTGGTGAAATTGAGAAACATCTATCGTATGTTTTGTAACATTGCTAATTTTTCGGTGAAGAGGTTTAATTACTTACAACAACCGCAAAAAATGTTAAAAACTCGAGGAATTCATTTTTAATCCGGAAACAAATTTTAGAGATTCAACTTCTATTATTTTCTTTAATAACAAATTCGCTACCAAATTTTTATAAAATTGAAATAACTATTTGTTTTATTTTATATTTACAAATGTTTACTAGTGAAAAGCTGGGAGAGTATACCTTTTAACTAGAAAATAAGAGTATAATTAAAATATAAAAAAATACCCATTTGAATACTAATTCATTCTAGTAATAACTCAGAACCAGCGTACCAAAATATGTATTAAATTAATATTTCATCAACGAAAAAGGATAGAGAAATGTGCGAAAGGAAAAGAAAATAGACTAAGTGCCAATATGTATTTATGTACAAAATAGGTTTACAAAGATTGCTTTTTACACATAGCTTAGAACTAAAGTAGACTAAAGAACTATATACAACTCCTTTCCAAATCCAATTCTTCCACTTACCACTCTGAAGTTTATCTCCACTTCTAAGATCGTCGATTTCTGGCGCAATTACTTCGACACTGTTAAACACTTCTAATCTATCCAAGATTTCACCTTCTGTGATTTGGGAAAAACCTCTGGGACTTCGAATTTCATCTGTTTGATTGTCACATTTTGCCTAAAAATATTTAAATTTGTTAATAACAAACAAAATCCTGCATTTTCTTATTAACAACATAAAAATGAAAGAACTAGTTTAAATATCACCTTTGGACATGGTCCCTTGCAAAGCTGTAATCCACAGGACAGATGCAGTCTATCTCTATCTGGAAATTTGAATGCAGGAAATCTCGTAGAGGCTTCTTGGTGATGCATCAATGCTATTGGTCTAATTGGTCCATAAATCAGCGCCGGCATCAAGGATTCGTCCACAGGGCATCCATGTTCATCGAGAAGCTTTTGTGATGAGTCACCCAAACCGTCATGAGCAACGCAATCCACTACTTTCCAACCAATCCCAGCTAAAACATAAAATCTGATCGTGATAATTGTTAAACAATTAGGAATTAAAATTTAAAAATCTCTGAACAGATATGGATTCGTTCGAAAATTAGAGGCATAACGTAGTTCTAGAATTGCCCTAAAATTGTATTTTTAATACTTAAACACATTTTTCAATATTATATAACATAATAATGTGTTTTGAATGTTATTTACCCAGTTTTGGTATTACTAATTTTTCGCCATTTTGGATTTTTTCCCACTGTGTTTTAGTTAGGGATTTTGACAATTTAAGTTATTTTTGCCTTACTACTTGAAGTTGATAACATCAACAATTTTTTTAACTTCTTGTCTAATGTTTCTAATTCGTAAATATGTTTTTTTAATATTTTATAACAGATTTACGTGTTATAAATTATACTTTGCCAATAACGTATTTTACAGGTGAAAATAAAGCAGAAAGTTTTTTTATAAACTGTAAACATATATCAAAAATGCTTTATAAGAAAGTGATGCTACGTTTGAGAGAACCTCCTGAAGATATTTTATTTTTTCTCTTAGTTTGACATTGACGTTCCTATAATTAAGAATTTACAGGTCGCTAAATATTTACATGTCGGTAAATATTTAAAGATGTTTCGTAAATGAGCCTTACCTGGTAACGTTGATTTGACACTTAACAAAGCAGTTTCGCCAACTTGTAAAGTGTCGTAACCCTTATCTTCTGAATTTTCAGGAACTATCTCCATCCAAGCTCGTGCAGCAGATAGAGCTACGTTTATCTCTTCCTCAAGTTGTTTTCCTTCTAGTTCCTTCGACCAACCCTCGTCTTTCATACGTCCGACTCTAAAAAATATCGAAATTTGATTAAATTCGTTAAAAAAATATCACCTAGGCATTTAATTAGTAATATTTCAGTAGTAATATCACAAGGATAGTGATTACGAAATAATTGTATTAAAGTGGTGACATAATGTAGTGTCACCAGTTCGCTTTGGTAACATGGCCATCGAGTTCTCGTCTTCATCGACTTCTTAGGATAGGCGTTCAAAAACGTATAAAAACGTTGAAAAATGTTGAAAACTGTTGAAAAACGTTGAAAAACGTTGAAAAACGTTGTAAAACGTTGAAAAATGTTGAAAAATGTTGAAAACTGTTGAAAAACGTTGAAAAACGTTGAAAAACGTTGAAAAACGTTGAAAAACGTTGAAAAACGTTGAAAAACGTTGAAAAACGTTGAAAAACGTTGAAAAACGTTGAAAAACGTTGAAAAACGTTGAAAAACGATAAAAATGTTGAAAACGTTAAAAATGTTGAAAACGTTAAAAATGTTGAAAAACTTGTCATTAGTATATCTAATTGTAGCGTAAGACGCGCACTTGAAAATAAAAATTGACTTGTTAAAACATTTTCTTAAAATATCAAATTTATTCCAACCTATACGTTCTCACTCTATAATAGTGTAGAACTAACTCAAATAACAACATCTATAAAACGTTTCAGAACAATTTTCAGAGAAAAGTACTGTAAAATTAATACTGTAATGTTTTCTGAACTTCCTTTTGTAACCTCTATGAGAGGTACCATACAACTCCTGCAGTTGTGGATATTTGGAGGTTTCATGGATGTTAGAGGTACATAAAAAGACCCATCACATGGAAGTTTAAAGATCGCGGAATTTCAGCTCATATTGTCACGCTTCGTATAAATTCATATTTTTCCTAATTTTAATTAATTATTTAAATAACATCCTGTACATAAAACTTTGTTTAATTATGTCGACAATTTGTTTTAAATTGCAATAATGTGCAAGGTTGGTTATTTAATAATTATTAAACATTAGTTTCATAATAATAAACTATGGAGAAGTTATAAAGGTAATGTCGAGGAGATGCGCAGGGCTTTTTTCCACAGGGAACGGATCCTCCCCATAGGAGGTTCTCCTTGTAGGAGATTTCCGGTAGCAGCTCTCCATAGTTTAAATTAAAAGTATTTTTTTTGTATTTTGAATCACGGTATTGACTTGAATCAAAAGTTGTGACGGGTACCCCAAAATTGGAGTTAGTAAGTTAATTTGTTTTTTAGATATTTATTATAGTTTTAGCCCATATTAGTGTATGTCCAGTTGCGACATAGTTCTGTGTAATTATCCTAAATATTTATATCATTATATTCGTTTTGAGAACACTGTGTTTTCTTCAGCCCTTAGGTTAGGTTCTGATATCAAGAATAGAACCATTATACAGTTAAGGGCTACGAAGCCAAGTTTAAGAGTTCTTACGTTAGTAGGCCCAGTATGTTATATTTTGTTATTTAACCCCGGGACATAGATAGTCCCATAATTATTTAAAACACGTGAATCGTGACTTTCTTTTTATTAAAAATACTCTTAACGTGACAATATTAATGTAGATAGAATCATGGATGCCATGGAATCATGGACGACACCACACGAGGACAAGAGGGGCATCTGTCCCCCCCCCCCATGTATTTGAGATTTTTTGCTGTGCTTTCAACTGCAGCCTGGTTGGAATATTTATGTGCTAACTGGTATGTGATGTGAGAACTTAACCCAATCAAATGGCTTGTGTGTTTTAGCCACTTTCACAGTATGACACTTATTACGTGACATTTTTATTGTAAACAAGTTTTTTACCTCAAAATGACCAAGATTCCAACCCTAAATATTTTAATTTCACAGTGAACTATTTTTATTTTCAAAAACGAACAGGAACATCGTTTACAAACATTAAAAAAACTTATTTAACCAAAAAGCGAATTACCTTTGATGCAATTTGATTCCTAATATTTCATTGGTTAAAGTCTTTTCTAAAGCTTTACTTTTTAGTAAAAGGTCTTCGTCCTTTAGCTGGCATTTTACAATTTTTTCTTGATCGCTTATTTGCCTTAAATGCCTGTCTTGTTGTATCACTAAATTTACTGTATAAAACATTTGGATATCTCCGTTTTCAGTTGAACTGGAGCTTAGCCGCACCCCGCATCCTGAAGTATGTAAACTTATGAAGATTTTGTTGGACAAATCACCTGTAAAAAAGTAAACATATTTATGTATGAATAAGAAGGTTACCCATATCTCAAATGTGGTGTATCCGTAAAGGAAAAGAAAAACTCTAAGTCTTAACCACAAAAACTATTTACTGTTTTAAAACAGGGAAAAGCGACTAGTTTCGCTCAATGACCATCATCAGGCTTGTAAGAAAGTATGCGATAAGACTAAATTGTTATGCATTGACATTAATTGTTATAATATCTTTACATTGTTATAGTTTCGCCAGCTCTTCAAGTACTAATTTATCAGTAACCTGATAGTTTTATCACATGTTAAATAATTTTTAAATTTTTTAAATTTTAAATTCCAATTCTTATTTATCACTTAACCCAGTAATTGTTATATATTTTGTTTCACTTGTATCAAATTTAGTCTTATTGTATACTTTCTTACAGGCCTGATGATGGTCATTGACCGAAACTAGTGGCTTTTCCCTGTTTTAAAACAATAACTAATTTTTGTGGTTAAGACTTAGAGTTTTTCCTTTCCTATATTTATGTATATTTATGTATGTATGTTGGACAAATCATTTTTAAGAAAAATTAAATTTTAGTTTCTCAATTAGGTACTCAAAATGGCTGGGCACGCTACTCTGTATAAAATAGGACTTGATTTTTTGATATCAACTAGTTTAATTCATTCTGAAAAAAGTTACTATCCTATAGCTAGTTTTAAGGCCATAGGATGCCACAGTTAGGAATTTTATATTTTTGATCTTACGTTTTTCCAAAATAGATGTGAATTCAAGTTTTTTTGCAAACAAAAATTATACTACTAGTTTGATTGTACTCATTCGTGAATTTCCTTGCAACGGCAGTTTTTGGATATTCCCCAATAATTGCAGTTTTTATATGTGCATCAATGTCGTTTCTAGTTACATCGCTACCAGAGTAATTTAAAATGTTTTTTCTATACAGATAAGGAAAGTTAAATGAAGACCTATTTTACAATGAATTGAACAAAATGTAATAGGAATATTCTTCCTTAAGTCACTAAAACATACAAATAACTGGATAGCCGTTCCAACAGTTTGAGATCCATGAAAATATTTCTACTGCCCACATCTAATCTCAATTACTAAACATTTATTGGTTTATTTTTGCATGCAGAGACGCAGTGACGAACTTAATTGTAGTATGTTAATCTTAAATAATAGTTCGTAGTTTTATGATTTTTACTTTTTAATAAGGCCAAAAAGACGAATGAATGGGGGGAATACACCGAAACACTCACAAAGTATAAAAAAACTCTTAGAAAGTCTAAGAGGAATTAATGGAGAACATTCTGTCAGGAAATTGAAAATACAACTGAAGGATACAGACTCCACCGCATTCTAGCAAAAGATCCAATAAACCCTGTGGGGACTTTAAAAACCCAAACAGGGGAATTAACTAAAACTGGAATGGAAACATTAGAACTACTTCTTAAAACTCATTTCCCTGATTGCACAACAAACTCGAATGCAGCAAACTAAACCCACACGAACTGGAACTCCCAAAAAAGAGTCTCCAGCCAAGAGTGGGAAACTGCTAAACGGGAAGTCACAACAAAGAAAGTAACATGAGCAATAAGCAACTTCAATCCATACAAATCACCGGGACCAGATGGGGTACTGTCTGTGCTTTTGCAACAGGTAATAGAAACGCTGACCCCGCATATTTGTAAACTCTACAGGGCAAGTTTGGTGCATAAACATGTACCAAATACCTGGAAACAAAGCAGAGTTGTTTTATACCTACATATGCTGTGGCAAAGGCCTATAATCCAATAACTGTCATTTCTATTGAAAGGATTAGAAAAACTGATTGATCAGCATGTCTGGTAAACCACTCTGATAGAGAGGCCATTTCATACAAACCAACATACCTATCAATCAGGAAAATCTTGTGAGTCCACTCTGCATCATCTCGCAACCAAGATAGAGGACCAAGAAATAGTCCTAGGAGCATTTCTTGACATAGAAAGAGCTTTTGATAATACCTCCTTTAAATGAATGGCAGCTGCCGCTCGCAAACATGGAATAGAAGACACCATCTGCTGATGGATAGAAGACATATTACGCGGACGGCAAGCAGAAATGTTCAGTGAAATCATGTAGGTTAATATCCACAGGGGATGCCCACAGGGTAGAGTCCTTTCTCTTCTACTGTGGAACATACTGGCAGATGAACTGCTGGAAACACTGAACAATCAAGGGCTGTACGCCCAAGGATATGCCGATGACATAGTATCCTTAGGCTCTGGCGTACATGGAGTTAAACCCAAATGCGACATCATCGTCTCACTGGGAAAACATACCACTGTATTTCATACTGAAATACATGCTCGAATTGTGTGTACGAGAGTATTTAAGAAGGAAGTACAAAAAACAAACCATCCTAATTCTCTCAGATAGCTAAGCAGCCTTAAAGGCCCTTGATTCAAACAGAATCAAGTCAAAGCTTGTCTGGAACTGCCTTGGAATACTAAATGATCTGGAACCAACAACAAGGTAAAACTAGCGAGGGTACCAGGACACAAAGGTATGAAAGGAAATGAAAAGGCTGATGAACTTGCCAAAGAGGGACCAGATCTACCATTCACAGGACCCGAACCTGTATTTGGGATAAGCAAAACCTCGGCTCGACAGGCAGTGAACAGATGGATAACCACGAAACACCAAATTCACTGGCAACAGATAAGGGGGCACAGAATCAGTAAGTTCATGCTAAGGGGACCAAACCCACGCATGGCTACTGAGGCACTACAACTTGCAAGGCCTCAGATATCCATCATTGTGGGATTACTAACGGGGAACTGCTTGCTAAAACACCTTCATGTGATGGGATTACACAATGATCCCACTACCTGTAGACTCTGGATGGAAGAGAAAGAAACCTCATACCATGTGATCTTCGAATGTGAAGCTCTTACAAAGATAAAGATGTTTTTACTTCTAAAATTACTTCTAATCAAAAAAGTACGTTTTTAAAATATTTATATGTTATATTTTTTCAAAAAACATGTTCTGTCAATCATTACAATACTTTTGAAAGTCTAGAAAATATAAATATACCAAATGAAGACATTAGTGATAACATTTTTTTCTAAATTTTCAACTTCTGGCTTCGTCTCGTAATTATAGCATGAATTAACTCCTACTAACTCAAAGTTCGTTTTTTAAAAAAAATACTTTTATTACTTAATACAACAATTATACTTTTAATTACAACTTAACAATATGGAATCTAGCAACTGACTGACTACTCTAAAAGAAAATAAAAACGTCTAACAATAAAAATGCAAAATAAGATAAAAATGAATATATCAGAACAAAGAGTTTTACAATGTCAGCATTCTTCCATAAGGGCCATGTATAGGAGTCGACATAATTCCTCCCCCCTGAGTTTCAACTTCTGAAGTTAGGATGAAGGAAGTTGAACAGCTGTCGGATCTATTGGAGACTGGGTCAATTTCTTATGTCTGCATATTTTGGGCATCAGTTTCTTGTATACGAAGAACATCACCAGGAATACAAGAGTCCCGTAAATTATTAAGGTCCAAAGACTGGGAACCATCAATACCTTCTCAAATGATAACTTGGGTTGGTTATGAGTAATTTGTGACTTTATGGCTTGTAGATCATCTAGTTCAATATTTTCTAAGTGAAAATTAAAATTGCTTGAAGTGGATTGGATTGTGCTATTATCCAAATCTAGGATTAACACTGGTTGGCCAAAAGTTGTTGATGATTTCTGGTTACTTATAGTCCCCATATGTGTGGTTAATTGACATCCCTTCGGAATTTCTACTAAATAAGTCCCAGTGGTGAAATATTTCGTTTCTTCGTTTGATGGACATTTAAGATATGCTGTGTCTTGATAAGGCACAGTGTATATCCAATGATTAGAGTTGGCTAATTGCTTTAATAGTGGCTTTGATAGGCGAATTGACGTTTTTTCACAGGTGGAAGTAATTTTCATTTCCAACAATTGTATTTCACAGGGGCCGTCTTCTTCAATTTCAAGCAGATCAATTCTCGGGCAGACAAATTGCCGAGGGATTATTTCTGTACATGGATTGCTCGTGAAAGCGAATTTGGATTTGTTTTTAACCAAAAATTTCTTTCTAGGTATTATGACCTTAAACTGACTCTTTTCCCAAATAGGTACCGCGAATAAATGATATAAATTAAAATTTTCAGATTGAACGACAGGGATTTTTAAAATAAATGTTATTTTATTATTAAAAATAAAACAGTCAATTTTTATTAATTTTTCGAATAACAACACATTATTTAAATTAATTTCCAGAGGAAGTTAATTTTTGTTTAAGTATTTTTCTAATAATTTTAATTGATTATATAAATCGATTGTTTTGATTATACTAGGGTGCATAACTTGAATTTTAGCAAAGGAAATTGAATTTTCTATATCCTGTAGAATAGAATTAGTGATTTCAAAAATATTTATTATTTGTACAATACTGTCTTTAATGTAATTAAAACGAGAAAGGGTGATTTCTTCATTCATTAAGGATTCTATTATTTTAATTCGAGAAGTTAATATATGCTCATTATTTGTTATCTGTTGAATCGTTTTATTAAATTTTTCAATTAATTTGGAATACATGATTTTTGCTTTTTCTTTATGGTCATTTACATATTCATTTAAGAGTACATGATTAATATCTAAATCAAAGGGGTCATTGCTACTAATATGCCCGTTTATGATGTCAATAGGTTTTAGTTTAGTGGACGAGTGAATCGAATGGTTATATGCTAAAATGGCATATATCATTTTCATTTTTGCTGGTGTTTTGGAAAAACCTTTTGTATTTAAAATACGGATATGTTCTAAAATGGTTGAGTGAAATCTTTCTATTTGACCATTAGATTGGGGGTGATTCGGAGAAGTAAAATGTACTTTAATTTTATGCAAGTTTAATAGTTCTGTCAATAAAAAGTTTTTGAATTCGGTACCATTGTCTATTATTATTTGTGTTGGTACACCGTGGTGAGAAAAGAATTGAATAAGGTTATCTGCGACTTCTGTACCGGAAGCAGAGTTTATAAGATATGCCTGAGCATATTTTGAAAAGCTATCTATAATAGTTAAAAATTTTGTTTGTTGCACAGTAAATGAATCAATATGAATTATTTCAAACGGCCTCGTAGCCGTGGGTGTAATATTTAATTTTGTTTTAATTGGATTGCGTTCATATTTACTTTGATGGCAAATAAGGCAATCATTAATAAAAGTTTGTACTGATTCTTTAATATGTGGCCAATAATATTTTTCTTTTATTCTTAAAAACGTTTCGTCTATTCCTCGATGGTTTGACTTCCCCTCGTGATAATTTCGAATTATTGTTTTAATTTCATCTTTATCGGTTACATCTAATAATTTTTTATTACATTTCTTTAGTTTGATTGAAGGCCATTTAAAGTATTTTTGGAGAGTTACTGAGAATGGTTCATAAATTTCTGGGTTTTCGAAGTAAATATGATATGGAATGCCAGGAGCTATATAATTTTTTACAAGATTTATCACGTCCTGTTCAAAATTATTTTTTGACAGTTGTGCCATTAATCGTTTTTTGGTTTCGAATAAAATAGTTAATTTTGGTTTTGCCGGTGAATGCAACACGGAACTTACTATAATTTGATTTTGACCTAAATTTAATGCACAATTTGAAATTGGAATTCCTACTACGGGATTTTGTTCAGCATTTGAGTGAATAGTATGGGAGTCATCGTCCTCAATGTCTAACCAGTCATCACTATTGTTAAGGTCAGGGTGTGCAATCATTGACATTTTATCTAACTCATTATTATCAGATGTTTCAGGATTAGTAAATATGTCTTGTATTATGCGGTTAGCGTTTGGATCGTCTGTCACGTTCTGTATAGCGTTATCAATTTCTTGAGAAATTAAATCGTCAAGTTCTTTTGTGTGAATTTCTATTCGAGATAAAGCGTCGGCGTTGGTATTTAGTTTCCCTTTTTAAACAAGATTCATCTCTCTGATCTGCAAAGTTTCTAGTTAATACTGATTTTAAATCGTTCCAAGTTGAAACATTTTGTATATTTACTACTAATTTGGCATTGCCACTTAATTTTGAAATTAAACAATTTAACAGATAAACATTTTGAAAACAATTTGGCTGAGCAATATTATAAAAATTATCAATCAAAGATGAGCATACGGATAAATATCTATTTAATTCATTCGGGTTACCGTCAAAGTTGGGTACACAAGTTAAGTATTCTGGTTTAAAATCAGGCATTATTATTTCTAAATTATTTTCGAGATTCGAGTCAGTTGAAGGGTCTAAAGATAAATTAGAAAGAATATTTGACAAATCGTCAATTACGGACATGTGAAATGTACTTACAATAAAAATATAACTTTGAGCATCCCTCTATAGAAATAAATCCAGGTCAGCAATTTTTGTCGTTCCCAGAAAATATCTCTGCAGAATTGAACTATTTGGGTTTCAATTCTCTCTTCCGCTTTGGATCCACTATTCTTGTCGGGTCTGCGATAGACTGGGTTTCCTGAAGTTCAAGGAGCCACTCCGGAACAATGTCACAAACGAAAGTCACTTAAGTTCGATATACGGTAAATCGTAGAAACGAAAATCGATATGTTCGATACAAATCAATCCCGATATCCTACTGACTGCGCCAATTAACTCCTACTAACTCAAAGTTCGTTTTTTAAAAAAAATACTTTTATTACTTAATACAACAATTATACTTTTAATTACAACTTAACAATATGGAATCTAGCAACTGACTGACTACTCTAAAAGAAAATAAAAACGTCTAACAATAAAAATGCAAAATAAGATAAAAATGAATATATCAGAACAAAGAGTTTTACAATGTCAGCATTCTTCCATAAGGGCCATGTATAGGAGTCGACATAATTCATGTGTGCGCTGAAGTTAATATAAATATTACAAAAACTGAAGGAATAACACCATGCTATTGGAAAAAATGCTTTTTTAACTGGTATAGGTAGCTGAAAGAAAAAATATATCGAATTTTTATAGATGGTGTCTGATAGAAATCACTATAAATGACTATATTAAAATACTTATACTTTTAAACTAATAAAAAAATATTGTCATGAGAATGCCTAGGCCTTCCCTGAGGAGCGCGACCTTGAAGCCTGTTATCCGACTCATGGGCGAAACACCGCTGACGTATAGAGACAAACGCACCGCTTCTCGAATCTATCAGTAAAACAATACGTGGCCGTTGAGTCATAGAGATGGAATTTTCGGGTGACATTCAAAAACGTCTGGAAATTACGAATACAGAGTGGGCTTTGTATAAATAGCGCGAGTTCGTCGACGGACGGGCAGTTTAAAATAAAGTATTGGACTGAAAAGATAAATTGTAATAAATAAATTAGAATTGTGAATTACTGCCTAAATATTATATAAATTAATTAGTATGTCATAAATAAATTGTAAATAGTATGTTCTAAATAAATAAACTAGAAATAAATTAAACAAGCATAACAATATGAAATTGTTTATTTTTTTGCTCTTACGCCATTTTGTCGCGACACCGTAAAATTATATAAACATTTTCAGTAACTTATTTAATTCTTACAGCCTCACCTGTCGATTTACACTCCTGCGCAAAATCTTTGGCAAACAGAAGCCCTTTAAATGGTAGATGCGTAGAAACAGAAACATTGAAGTTATCAGAATCGCATGTAAAGTTAACTGCGGTAATTTTGTTAATAGCTATCGGCAGCGGGTATCTTAAACTAGGCGGAAACGCTAACCATACAGGAACCACTGCCATTGTTAAAATGTAGAGCGGACATATTAGGTAAGATTTTGTCATGTTGCATTAGAATCTGAAAAAAAAAAATAATAATAGTTTATGATCGATTATTTTTGATAGTAATTACAAATTCTGTACGAATGTACTTCATTATTTGAAGTTTTTATAAAGTTCTGACACCGACTCCTTTCTGTATTACATATTTAACCATCTACTGTTTAAGATAAAAAATATTCGCTTTATAAAGTAGGGATTGCCTGAGAAATTTGTCGTGGACGCTCAGAGCAGAAGTTATAAAAGGACGCCACGAAAATAGCTAATTGTATATACATATATATGTCGCCAATTTGTTTTAGTGAGAATTTGGCGCAGCAGTGTAATTATCACGATGTATATTCTAAGATTTGATGCTATTAACTAAGTTACAGTAAAAATAATGTATCGCATAGTTGCATTGTTAGAATTACTTCATAATAATTATATAAAAGTAAAACTCTGAAAGCTATTACTATTAATAATATTAATTAGAACATATTTCCTATGGATTTATATTTAAATTACCCGATCATTTAAAAGTTTCACAGAGCTTCGCTTCATACGAAACAACAAATTATTCTGTTAATAATTAAAAAATACAAAAGAACTTTCTTCACTGTTTCAGTGTTCTGTTCGGAAATTAAGTACGTACATTGCGTTATATACCTATTGTTTAACTTTTATTAGTATTTTCACTTTTTATATCGACATTGCTTCATTGAACTTCAAGTATGTACATCTTTGCTAAGAAAACGTGTCTTGGAATTGTATATTATTTGGTTTTCATTGATTTTCTCTACAAATGAGAATGTATTAAACTATTAAACATTTTTTAAAAATTCCATTTGCTTTAGAGACCAATAAATCAATTTATTGACAAATCTGTAGCTTCATTATTATAAAAGTATACAGTGTCGGCTAGTGGATGTTTTATAATACACCTTACCACATGTGCATGTGAAAATTATACAGAGTTAACATTAGGTCAAGTAGGAGATGAATAATATCAGCGTTGCCAGTTTATACAGCCCAACAACATTGTAATGTTGGCCTGGGGGTCTCTCCTTTATAAGGCATTTTTTGATATATATGTTTATAGAAATATTCTGCCTTTTTTCATATGTATAATTACGCTATTAAAATATTAACACCCTGTAGAAACCAATACCAATGTAAAAATAATATACATAATTTCTAAGAACCTATGTTATTTCACTTTTAATTTCTGCAAAACTGAATTTTTTATAACTACCATAACAATGCAAATGGTAAACAATGCTATGAAAGAATCATTTTTTAATTGTTCTGCGGGCCATTGTACCCTTAATGACTTTATGATTTGATGTTTAATTGAAATTATAATTGTTCATCTATTGTTTACTGGATTTTAGAAACGGTATTGCATAACAGAATTTTGTTGGTCTTCCTATCTATTGCTTTCTAAGTTGTAAACTAACTTCTTAATTTTGAAAATGGGTAGCAGAAAAAAGGATCAGTCCAATTTTAATTGTTTATAAATATTAATAATTAAAAAATTTGAATTTTTTATAAGCAGTTTTATGTTGTTTTACAATAGCTTCTGCTTCTTTACTGTTACAGTCTTGGCAGTTTTTTTATTTATTGAAATTTATAAAATGATTGAACTTGAAACTTTTCTTAATCACATGTTTTTTTGAAAAAAGAAAATAATATTTCTCATATGTATAAAACTTTTTTAACTGTATAATATCGTTAATTAATAAGGTCTGAGCACGTTGCAATTTATTATACCGTGTCTTCAAAAAAGTTTTATACATTTCACAAAAAAATTATTTTTACTAAAAAGTTCTGCATCACTTAGGAATTCATAATGAAACATATTTTTGAAAATATAAGTGGTATACTAAAAATAGAAGTTTTTTTTTTGAAAGTTATTGAATATTTAATATTAATAATCAATTATGGATTCCCAAATGATGCAGAACTTTTAAGAGAATAATTATTATAGTTTTTTTTTAATAAAAAACTTTTTGAAATACACTATGTAACGGATTGCGACGTGATCGAAGAGCACTTGTAAATAACAAAATAAATTCAATCTATTATACAGTGTGTTCCAAAAAGTTTTATGCACACGAGAAAAAGTTTTATCTTAAGTGGACTCAAATAATTTATTTTAGTGTGTAATTGTTCAATTTTTCAATTTGTGTTATTAACACGTAAATAAGTTTCAAAATAAGTATTTTAAAAATATATACAGGGTGTTGCGTTTTTGTCTGGCAAATAAAAAAATGTATATTTTTTAAATATAACATCTTGTATTTTATTTCAATTTTAAAATATTTTGGTAATACTGTATTCAACTCTAGATTTTTTTTAAAAATATTACTGGGTTGCCAAGCAATTAATTTTTTTATGAAATTAGAGAATGATGCAGACCCCAAATTAAATTATCATAATTTAGGTAGGTTTAAAATGATTTCAAAATTGTTTAAAATACAGATTTACAAGATACTAAGCTAACGAACAATGGTGATAGAACTAGTTTATTATATACAGAGTGTCTTAAAACATGTCCTAAATATAGCTAATTTTAAGTTCAATTTACTCAATTTTTTCAAATGTAACACCCTATATATTATTTTAGCATAAAATTACTTATAAATTTATCTATCCAACGATAATAATAACATGTTAAATCGAATAACACATATGAAGAACACACAGCTAAAACGATGAGAGTTACTTTTTTCCAAAAATAAGTTGAATACACTATAAAATAGCCGATAGTCTGTAGCATATGCTAAACAGGTTTACACAGAAATAAATCTCATGGTTATGGAGTTATTTCAGAAACAAAAAATGGTGTATACAGTAAAACCGATGAATGTCCCGGCAAAATACAGCAAAGAGTATACGACATGGGCGAAGAAGAGAACAAGAACAAAGACAACGTTTTTCACATCATATCATCCAATAAATGTGGCAAAAAATTGCTACTAACTCACTTTTCTTAATATTCCGGTTCTTAGTTATTTTGGTGTCAAAACTTAAAATTCAATTTACAAAGAAATTTTAAGGACCTTCATCGTTTTTGCTTAGGACTTTTCATATACTTTTCATCCCATTAGTGCGTAATTAATCGATAGCTGTTTTATTATTGGAAATACGAAAAAAAATTAAATAAAAATTGTATGACCATGTTTAATAAATATTTTTAAATATACAGGGTGCACCATAAACGAGGGGCTGACAAAACTTATACATTTTTATAGCAAAACACCCTACGGGTAGTTATACATATTTGATTATTTTCACATTATCAAACAATTTTAATAGACTTCATTTATTTGTTTTGTTGTATATAGGATCTGTCAAACTGCGGGGTAACGTTTTTCTCAATTTTTTAAATGGAATACCCTATATATTATACCATCAATTAATTAATACAGGGAATTCCATTTAAAAAATTGAGAAAATCGTAACCTAACGTTCTGACATACCCTTTATTCCACATAGCAAGTGAATGAAGACATTTAAAATTGTTTGACGATATGAAAAGAATTAAACACCCTGTATATGTGTTATTGGCTAACATATTGGTATCGTTGTATATCAAATTTATAAGGAATTTTATGCTAATATAATATACAGGGTGTTGCATTTGAAAAATGGAGTAAATTGAATTTAAAATTAGCCGTATTTAAGACATGTTTCAAACATATCAAACATATTTTGTAAAATATAGATGGTATGCAGGGAAAATCGAAATATAATTTTTCTTCATTTAGAAATTATTGAATACTTAAAATCAAGACGAAAGTAAAATTACTCCATCATGGATTCTAAAGTGATGCAGAACTTTTTATCAAGAATAATTGTTCTGTGAGAAAATCGCGAAAATTAGATGTGAGGTTGGATTCGAAATCTTGTATTCTTCTTGACAATTCGGAAATCTCTGACTATGTCAGTGATATCCTAATTGGAAGAGTGGCTGTGCGTAGAACTGGGTTCGAATCCCCCGCTGACAGATTTTTAATTTTTCATTAAATTTGTTTTCTTCTTGGGAGTTCCAAAATAATTTTCATTATTTTGTAGGGGTAATATTGGTATTTGTTTGGGAATTTCCTGGGAATTTATCAATTGTTTTTTACTAATGGATATAAAACTTTGTGAAATACACGTTGTTAACAACATTCGAAGAAGAAGAAGAACAGCCTATTTATAATTTATTTACACTACGTACTAAATAATTTATTTAATACTTAAGCACTATTATAATTCACACATCTAGTTTATTTTACAATTTATCTTTACTTGACATCATTTATATTATAAACATGTAACAGTCTAGAAAAATCCGATCCTGGGTAGAAGAATCTCGAAGCGTTCGTGACTTCCTTCCTTCATGCGTTGGGCTGTATACAAAAATATTCTAGCTGATTCTCGATGACGAGTCGGGTCTACGGTGCGGTAAAGATAAATAGAAAATAGGGACGGTTTCAGACGATCACACGACAATATTGATTTATTTTCATCTGTGATTGCCTGAAGTTATACCTACCTACCTACCTACCTACCAGTAATCAGAATAATTGTATTTACCTATTGATTTTGATGAATTAATTTTGTACTAGTACTTCTTAAAATAATAAAGAACTTCTTATTTACCTACCTGTTTCTTTTAATGTAATTTAAGATTCACTTTTTATGTTTTTAAACTAATTTCGAATATTTCGAAACGATTATTTAAATTTTTAGTGAAATTTTAACCACTGACCAGAAAAAATATGCACATATTTAGATATTCAGATACCTAGTACCTAGTATGTTATTTATAATGATCATGAAATTGAGTTTCTTTTTATACATGCTATTTTAGATTCTCATTTAATATTACGCTGTAATCTTGACAGAAATATTAAATCAATATCCTTTAATTTAACTAGGCATTGTCTAGTGACCTAAAGAACACAGCCATCAATAACAAACAAACTAGGTACCTATGTTAAATCGTTTGACCTTGGCTTGACGATGACTAACAAACAACCAAATTGTTACTCAATGTACCGCTATATAGGTACCTCTCTCGAAGAAGTCTCACGAAGAGCTCAATGTAATAGTTATATGAACGTCAGTGGCTGAATCTACAGTTATTAAACACTACAGTTATTCATAAATTGTAAATTGCAGAATTACGTTTCTGTTATTTTCTTAAAAGTAACCCTTATAAATTAACTGAATAATACGTATCAAATTTAGCTTTAATTACAAATTTAAGATCATGCCGCACATTTACAAAAAAACTTGCTATAACGTCACGTGTGGCACATTCGAATTATTATTTTAATTTGACATAATGTTACGATTGGACTTTTAAACCATAATAGACGTATACGAATATGGATTTAATGTTCAAATTTGTGGTAAACATAGGTAGCAAATTTTTTTTTTAAATTTCAAAAAACGAATAATAAAAAATATGATTGGGGGTTATAATCACAGTTAATTGAAAGTGTAGGTTCTCGTCGTAGTCGTCTTCATGTAGTGGTAAT